GACCTATTGGCATTGGCTGTGATATTGTTTATGTGTTTGTCCCATCGTAGGTTGTTTTGTAGTGTTAGTCCTAAGTATTTGCTTGTTTCTACTTTGTGTAATGTGTGGTTGTGGAGTTTGTAATCATGGTGTATTTTGTTGCGTTTCGGTGTAATGTTAAGTATGTTACATTTGTCGGGGTGAAATTGCATTAACCAGTCTGTCTCCCATTGTCCTGCTGCATCGAGGTCGTGTTGTAGTTTTAATGTGTCTTCTTTGTTGTTTATTGTCTTGTATATTATGCTGTCATCTGCAAATAGTCTAAGTGTGCTGTATTTCATGTATTCGTGGAAGTCATTTATGTAGATGAGGAAGAGGATGGGGCCCAAACAGGTTCCTTGAGGGACCCCAGAGGTTACTTGTATTTTGTCTGATTGTTTGCCCTCAAGTACTACTGTTTGGGTGCGAAATGAAAGAAAGTCTGTAATCCATGCGTGTGTGTTCCCTGTTATCCCGTAGTATTTGAGTTTGCATTGTAGTCGTTTCATTTGAACAAACTTTGTAGCCCTTTATCTCAGCATGCTACTGAGAAGAAGTTGTTTAAAGGTTTTTTAATACAATTGACCCCTGTGACCTTGAATAAAGTTGAAGGTCATTCATTTGAACAAACTTGTTAGCCCTTCACCCAAGCATGCTAATGGCCAAATATCATCTCCCTGGGCACTTTGGTTATTGAGAAGAAGATGTTTAAAGTTTTTGACATATTTGAACCCTGTGACCTTGAAAATAGGTCAAGGTCATTAATTTTAACAAACTTTGTAGCCCTTTATCCAAGTTTGCTTCTGGCCAAATATCGACACCCTAGGCCTTTCGGTTATTAAGAAGAAGTCGTTTAAAGTAAAATATTGACGCCGGACGCCGGACGCCGGACGCCGGACGGATGGACGACGGACGCCGCGCCATGGCATAAGCTCACTTGGCACTTTGTGCCAGGTGAGCTAAAAATGAACATAAGGGAAAAAGCCTTATACCCTATAACACTTAATATTGCAAACATATATATATAACAACAAAACGATCACATCTACAACTACAGCAGCCAAGGTAATGGAAGGCTTACACAGTTATATATAAACTATAATTTATCATTACATATCATATTATTCTAAAAATTGGCCTGAGAACCAAGTAATTAATTTTATTTGGCCTTAAGTTTAAGTTGTATTAAGGGTATGTTAAGCAAGTAGAGTGAGTAGCCCCTGATATGCCAAATGTTAATAATGTATACATGTACTTCTCAGTGTATCTTATTCATGTTTTTGCTATTATGTGTAAAAAACAGATAACTGTTTATCGTGTTTTAGTTTTATATAAAATGATAACTTGACATGTTAAATGTTAAATTATAGTTTGTATACAACTATATTTACTTCTACATACATGGCTTGTTTAGTGTATGTTCTGTTTAGTCATGAATTCATAATGTTAAAAAATGCACTTGAATGTTCATGTACATTTTGTATCTTTTCTTTGTGTTGCTTATTACAAGAATGTATGCTTTGGCAGGTCTATTTCCTGTGTTGTGTCCATATGCATCTTGATACGTAGCTATATAGCTAATCATATCTCTATGCAAGTTGTTGATATATTTATGCTAATGAGTGGGGTAGATTTTGACCAATCAGCATTATCCACTAGAGGGGTATTAGTATTGACAGCATCCTATTCATTCTTTGTTTTTGGCAGATTATCATTGTTTGTTTTTATGCACCCACCCACCGTCCCCAGATTCACCTTTGATGTACTTTTATTTATTTAATTTTCTTCACAAACCATTTTTCTAAACAAACCGTGACCTGTTTCTTCCTGTATATTGTTCCTTATATTGTTAGGTGGGCTACTCACTCTTTGTAATTTATTCTTTAACTCAGGTTTTAATTCCAGGCTTTTAATTCCAGGGGAATTTTACCCCCAATACTTTATTAATTTAAATATTATTCATTTACTATGTCAGTAGCTTCTATATATGTATCATCATCTCCAGGAATACTTAGAGTCTAGTCGCTTCGTCCGCAGTTCAGTAGAGTCAAGCTTCTTCTCTAGGTCTATTCTATTTCAAGTCTTAGAGTCGAGTCGCTTCCCTGCAGTGCAGTAGAGTCAAGCTTCTTCATTAGGTTAAGAGTATTCTGTTTCTCATCTTCTCCATAAATACTTAAGAGTCAAGTTGCTTCTCTGCAGTTCGGCAGAGTCAAGTCTCTTCTCTAGGTGTCTTTTTGGAGTCTTGATGTTAAATTTTAAGTTTAAGTTGTATTAAGGGTATGTTAAGCAAGTAGAGTGAGTAGCCCCTGATATGCCAAATGTTTATAATGTATACATGTACTTCTCAGTGTATCTTATTCATGTTTTTGCTAACATGTGTAATAAACAGATAACTGTTTATCGTGTTTTAGTTGTATATAAAACAGAAGGGACAGTGACTGATTCCTGATCAAAATGATATCGGTCACTACTCGCCTCAGCTTTCTGAAGAGGAGACATTCGACAACACAGCACCGCCACACAAGACTGACACAGACTTCTGAACAAATCCGAGTGGTCCTTTACAGCAAACCTCAGACTGGCACCATCCACGACCAGGACAAACGGCTGATCAATGGACGCATGATCTTTTCTACAACACAGGATTTTGTTTTTGTTTAACTAACTTAGTTAAAGTTTTAACAGAAAATCAACACAATAAGATCATATATAATTAAATTAAACATAAAAATAAAATAATGAAAGACAAAAAAAGTCTGTGGGAGTAAGTCAACATAGGATGAAATGTATATTTTGTGTATGTAATACTGTAAGTGTACACATTTTAGTGGTATTCGCCCTTTAAATCTTGCACTGAATTGTGACTGCACTAATTGAAGTTCCTGTATATAGTTTTCTACCGCGTATATTTTGAGTGCACTAATTCTTCAATGTGCTAATCTATTGAAATTCAATAATATGCGAAAACTTTTTCTATCATCTACCTAGATTTATACTTTTCCATCAGAAATTTTAAAGTTACTTTTTTTTCTATAATTAAGGTAATAGGATTGTGTCACCATTTCTCAGTAGAATTTCTTCAAATTTTGTAGTTATATTGCTTTAAAGTTAAAAAAAAATTCTGCCACAAAAAAAAATTCGGTTGTCAGAATTTTAAGGATTTTAAATGGAAATTTATATAAAAAGGAGTGAATTATGAAAAAAAAACGAAAGACACAATATTTTTACAAAATAATGTCAATAAAAATGATACTGACATATACTAGTATTGCATAAATGTATATCAATTTAATAAATGCTGAAATTGTGTATAATTAATTCTCTATACACGATATAAAAATTAACATTTTATAATAAAACCATATACACATAGTAATTGCAGGTAAGAGTTATCGTTCTTGAAAAACTTCACAGTAGTGAAATAGGTAGCCGGTTTCCTGAAGTACAGAAAAATGGACACATGTGACTCATTGATAAAAAAACAAACTGAATTAATGCCTGGATTGCTTTGAAATACTTTAATATTGAGAGAACACACTGTTCTGTCAATAATAAACATCCAATATTCATACATAATATTAAACATTAGAATTTGCGGAAATTGTGATACTGCCTCCCTACATTGGATTTTCAACTAGGGATGTACTCCCTCTTTCCGTTTATCAATACACTCCAATGACCTTAAAACCAAATTAAAATGTGATTTTTGCATTGACTGCCTTACATGTTTTTGAGCCTGGTCATGACCTCAGCACACTGGACAGTGGAGGTCATCTGAGTGATGCGTAGCTCGGCGAAACCCTGTTTGAAGTGTCCAGCGGAGTAACTTATATTTACCGCTGTCTCTTCCTTATCTCCAGTCAACACCCAGACCTGCAGAAATAATTATAATTATATTTATTCATGAAAAGGCAAACAACCACAACAAAACAATTTCATATATGTAGATAATTTACAGAGTTGATATCTATAATTTACGTATTTTGCCTTACCCTGGGATAGCCCATCAAAGCCATAGAAAGCTCATTTCCAATGGGGTTCCCTAAAACATTTCTTGGTTATTTTACTCTTCAATAACAAAATATTAAGATGTATCAATCTCAAAGTGTACAAAACACTTTAAAACTTTAAATCCTTAAATTTGAGGCCATGTACTTCAACCTTTGCTGAAAATTTATTACGAGCAGAATTATGCATTTCATCATATGAAAAATATATGCTGTCAAAATCACTTCTATATTTAAATATAAATGTCTGTTAATAATCACTTTGTAACAAAATTCTATCTCTCAGCCTTTAGGAGCTCTTCTGTTTTTAGAATGTTTGTAAAATGGAGGTCAAATGACGGGATTACCATTTCATGTCCGATCGGGGAATTGAACCCTGGCTGCAATTTGGTGAAAGGCGTCGGGGTTATCTACTCTGCCACCCGAGCGACCCTAACTGGGACTAGTTAGTGATATTTCTTTTCAGGGGTATGGAAATTCAAAATTTTAACATCAATGAGATTAAAATAGATTCAGCCTCTGCATCTTTTATCTAAATTCTTTGAAACTGTATATACCACCATTTGAAAATGGATTTTTTTCTACATATATACTTTTTAGAATCGTTTAGTTTTGTGGGGTTAAAATTTCGTGGATTTCATATACTAGCCTGTTTCAAGAACATTATATTTCGCTGATTTCTGATTTTCCCCTATCTATATCATACTAAATTGATGTTTTCGTGGGGATTTAATTTCGTGGATTTTTGTTATCCACGAAATAAACGAAATTTAATGTCTCACGAAAATTTATGATTTTACAGTAGGTTCACTGAAACAGCACAAACACTACAACGTTTCAAGCAGCATGTTTACCTTAATTCCAGAGCGTTGCAGAGACTGTATCGTGTCTGGTACATCATCCTGGAGTTTGTCTTCAACAGCTGTAGCTCCTAGGAGGACAAGGTCACGCTCTATAAACTCGAAAACCTCCTCCAACTTTAAAAGATAAGAAACGACTTGTTTAAACTTAGAAAAGGGTTACCATCTGTTAAATTGACAAGACAGCCCATCCAATTAGTGTACCTTATTTACTATAATGAATGTCCCTCCGTAATAAACACCCCTTCACATAACATATTTAAACTTCCCTTTGTGAAATTAAAAGACCACTGTACAATTAAGATGTCGTAATTTAGTGTTGAAACAATGTTTTTCATGATAGAATAATGTTCTTGACATTTAATATGTAATCTGTAAATCAACAGAAAACCCTCTTTTATCAGTTTAGAAATACTTTTATTTCAAGACACACTTGTAGCACAGCAGGTCACTGTTATCTTGATCTTTGACCTTTTGACCCCATTATTGATGGGTTCATACTTCACCTAAAGCTGTTCATCCTATGAATTTTCTTGGTCCAGGTGTGGAAACATTCCCAAGCTAATTTGTGCATATGCATAGTTTATGTACAGCAGGTCAATGTGACCTTAACCTTTGACCTTTTGACCACAAAATTTAAAGAGTTCATTCTTATTGAATCTTAAAGCATCCTCTGAAGTAGCAATGTTGCTGACTGTAAGATAGAGTTCAAAAACAGTTTTTCCCTGACCTTGACCTTTTGTGTCCAAAATTTACATAGAGTTAAGTTTCTACTTGAACCATTGGTAATCATCCTGTGGAGGTTGATAAATACAATTGAATAGCAACACAAGTTAAGTTCTAACAGGATGGTGGACAGACAGTGTGGTTTTATTTTATAACAACCTCGCACTAACATTGATTAGTAGGGTATAATGAGCCCTTCCATACTGCTACAATTACCTTTGCCTCTCTGTCACTAAGCGAGTTTCTGGCCTCCCTGAGACGTCTGTCTATCTCACTATACTCCTCGGGACTGAGTAGACGCCTTGCCAGGACAAGAGTTCTCAAACCGAGCTGGAAAACAAAATCAAAACATTAATACTAACTGAACGAGAACACCGACAGGTCAGCAATTATGTAGTGTATAAGGCGATACAGTAGAGCAGACATAGATCTCACATGAAAAAAGGAAAATATATTGTTGTTTATGTTAAAAACAACGAATTTACAAAATTCAATTTGCACAACTTCTACTAAATATATTATTGAAGACATCACGACAACCGGCCAATATAACACTGACAATATGTATTGTTCATGAAATCGAGGAATTTTGTCAAAAATTCATTGTCAATTCATTGGTAGATTGCCAAGTAAAACCTGTGAGAGACGTCTGTGATGTTTACCAATGCGTAGTCGGTGACGTGTTGTAGGGTGACTTCCTTCAGGTTTGGCGTGACACGATCAAGGATAGCCGACTCAGCACCCTTACACAACAGGTAAATTTCATCTGTTTGTAATAAAGAACACGATATATTTCAAATTTCATTAAACACTCCCAAAATAAGTTATTTTTACACACATTTTCTCAGAGATGTAACATTTTGATGTTACGATTTTGATGATCGGTATAGTGAAACGTAGACCTAACCATAGATATTTTATATCTGTTTACATCTTATCTGGAATTCCTCTCTTGAATAAATCATCGAGACAAAATGTTTATTCAAATGATCCTCATACTTTTCCACCCGGAGCATATGGCACTGACCTTGATCTTTCTTTACAACCTTGAACTTGTTCCTTATGTAAGATCATGACCTTGTTACTTTGTATGACTTTTCCTTGTCTGATCTGTACAACCCTGTATTTTTTTCTCTTTTTTCTTTCTTTTTGTAACATAATGACCTTATTATTTGTACGCTCTTGACTTTGTCTGTTCTTAATAATTCTGAACATGTCTAATTTGTATGACCTTGATTTCTGTATAACCTGACCATATTTATGTTCTATGACTTTGACTGTTTTGTGTAACTCTGGTCTTATTTATGTTCTGTATAACCCTGACCTTGACTGTTTTGCATAACTCTGGTCTTTTTTATGTTCTGTATAACCCTGACCTTGTCTGTTTTGTACAACCCTGACCTGCTCTGTTTTGTAAAACCCTGACCTTCTCTGTTTTGTATAGCCATGACCTTCTCTGTTTTGTATAACCATGACCTTATTTGTTTTGTAAAACCCTGACCTTGTTTGTTTTGTATAGTCCTGACCTTCTCTGTTTTGTATAACCCTGGCCTTGTTTGTTTTGTATAGCCCTGACCTTGTCTGTTTTGTACAACCATGACCTTGTTTGTTTTGAACAACCCTGACCTTGTCTGTTTTGTACAACCCTGACCTTGTCTGTTTTGTACAACCCTGACCTTGTTTGTTTTGTATAGCCCTGACCTTCTCTGTTTTGTATAACCCTGACCTTCTCTGTTTTGTATAGCCCTGACCTTGTCTGTTTTGTACAACCCTGACCTTGTTTGTTTTGTATAGCCCTGACCTTCTCTGTTTTGTATAACCCTGACCTTCTCTGTTTTGTATAGCCCTGACCTTGTCTGTTTTGTACAACCCTGACCTTGTTTGTTTTGTACAACCCTGACCTTGTCTGTTTTGTACAACCCTGACCTTGTCTGTTTTGTATAACCATGACCTTATTTGTTTTGTAAAACCCTGACCTTGTTTGTTTTGTGTAGCCCTGACCTTCTCTGTTTTGTATAACCCTGACCTTGTCTGTTTTGTGTAGCCCTGACCTTCTCTGTTTTGTATAACCCTGACAATGTCTGTTTTCTTATAACCCTGACCTTGTCTGTTTTGTCTGACCCTGACCTTGTTCGTTCTGTATGATGACACTCATCCGTTTCCTGGTCGGGTCAAACTCAAGTACATGAAACAATTTGTAACGTCTCATTTCACCCTTGAAGGTCACTTCTAAACGGTCGTCATGGATACCATGGAGAACAATACCATACCTGAAAGGTTTAAAGAAATGACATTCATCATTTTGTTTATTTTATCAAAAAGTTATACAGTACGTATTTACTGACCTTTTTTAATATTTTTAATTTCAAACCATCATACTTACAGCATTACCAGATCGTATGATATGTTACATATATGCTGCTGATAATAATATTGCAGTACAATACTACTTATAGAAGGCAGCATTCAAGGTTTTTTTGGTGGATAAGATTATTCGCATTATATTATTACACAGGTCAAGTTTCCACAATTATGTATACGCCCTCTGAATTAGCGAAAATATCATCTCTGCAAAAATAATCTGCTATATATGGTATATTTTTTTAGCTGAAAACAGTTAAAAGATCTGTGAACTTATTTTTTACCTCCTACAGGCCTCGAGGAATGCTTTTTCATCTGGTGAAGAGGACTGGTATTCATAACTCATGCCTAAGTAATCAAATTTTCTGTCCGTAGCCTTCTCAGTCAGGTCTGAGTGGGGGTGGTCCACACGTATTGTATGACATAGGGCAAGGACCGTAAAAAAATCCTCCATCTTTTTCTGGAACAGGAAAGAGGCATACCTCAACTTTTTCATTCAAGTTTCATAAAGGTCACATTAATTTTGTAAAAAGCAAATTCTATCTAGCATGTTGTTCTCTATAACAACCACCTCTTTAAAGCAGATACCTGTGTATGAAGACCATCAACGACAAACAAATACCTGTCTATAAAGATCACCTCTCTATAGAGACATTTTTCTATACAACGCCTAAGTGGACAAGCTTTTCCTATCTCTATTTTTTTCATCACATTCTAGAAACGTCACAGTTAAGCATAGTTAACAGGAAATGTCATGTACTTCCAATGTGTCAAAAAGTTGTTTCAAATTTTGTTGTGCTTTATAATTTATTTATTTTTACAATAAAAATAGCATACTGAACATGGGTATCAACACAGAATGGCAATACCACAACAAATTCTGTATCACACCAGAACTTATTACTGGTGACCGACTGGGAGTTTTTGTGAATGTAGAATTTGTGTAGATTCACTTTTTGAAGAACCTACTTTTATAAATATGTCACATTTACCTAAATGATGAAATAAATGTCTTTTTTTTCGTGAATAAGACTTACCGTCATTTGAGTAACAGGCCTTCCGTGATCATGACCAGGTTTTTTTTCGAACAAGATATTATCGACCTCCATGTATTTGTCACCGCCGAGTGAACACTCTCGGAACTGCATCTCGTTCTCGGTCAATGTCCCAGTCTTGTCAGTGAACAGGTACTCAACCTAGAGGTAGCATACAAACAAATCAATAAATAGATAATTTACAGAGGCATGGTAGTCTAGTGGTAGAACGCTAGGCTCGTAACCGAAGGGTTGTGAGTTCGAGTCACGGCATGGCACTGTGCTGCATCTTTGAACAAGATACTTTACTCCGCTTGTTCCATAGTCTACTCAGCTATAAATAAGTAGTGGTTGGGCAGTGGTAGAATTGTAGAATGCTAGCTGTGAGCGCCGAAATGGCAGCACCAGCTTTACATGTATGCTTCCCAGGGAGCTGAGAAAGATATTGGCTGGTTGTAAAGGCCCTATAACCACTGATAATAATTTGTGAACCGCTTTTAGCACAGATAATAACAATAATAATAATAATTGGAGGTTCTTTTATACCGCTTTATCACAACCTAGTTTGTAGGTCGTCTTAAAGCAGTTCACAAATTATTATCCGTGGTTATAGGGCCTTTACAACCAGCCAATACATTTCTCAACTCCCTGGGGAGCATACAGCCAGAGCTGCCATTTCAGCGCTAACCGCTTGCATTCAACAATTCTAGCACTGCCCTGTATAACCACATACTCATTTACAGCTGAGTAGACTGGAACAAGCGGAGTAAAGTATCTTGCTCAAAGATACAACACATTGCCGTGCCTTGGCGCGAACCCGCAACCCTTCGGTCACGAGCCCGGCGTCCTACCACTGGACTACCGTGCTTCCAGATAACTTACATACAGTCGAACCTCGTTATCTCGAACTCGTATAACTCGAAAACCTCGTTTAACTCGAAGTATTTTATCGGTCCCGGCCAAAACTCTTCTTGATCTTACTAATAAAAACTCTGATAATTCGAACTCTGAAAACTCGAAAAACTCGGATATCCCGAAGTGAAACATCGGTCCCAACAACGTAAATCCTACATAAAAATATCTCCTACCTCAAAGTTTCTTAAGATTCACAAGTCTATCATATATTCTTTAATTATTTGATACATATTAGACGCAGTGCTACGGTAAATATCGTTCTCATAGAGCAGCTTACGCTCGGTCATAATTACTTCGATTAAACTTATGGCATTAAAATGTGTTTGACTGTAAAAACACTTTGTACAAATAAAGAAACAAACTTCATCAATGTTGATTAACAACAATTAGTATGCGAGCCCGTAAACAATTTGAAAAGCACTTTATTTAAACCAAAGCTGCCGACACATTCTAACCGGAAAATGGGTCACAGTGTGCGGTCATGCGTAAATAAGCTCCACAGTAAAAATCACAACCTAGGACTGGTTCGTTGGTTTATGTTTTTACAGGAGCTTGTATGGCATTGATAATTAATTGAGAGATTATAGGAATAATACGATAATAATTGTTGACTACGTCGTGTTGAGGAGATGTCAAGTGTCATTGGGGTCTATAAATGTGGATATGTTTCCTGATTAACTCATACCCATTTCGGAATGTCGAAATCAACTAAGCAATCCAACGTGTACGCTCCAATACAGTGATTTGTATAAAGACTTGAGCACTTTCATTTCCGCATTGAAATTTCTATCAGCATAGCACGAGGTTGGAGACAGCATGTGTGTTTATTGTAACATTAATTAATTAATGAATATGATTATGAATAAGTTGTATATTTTTATTCTATATGGTTATCTTTTTGTCATTTATCGACTGTTTAAATACGTTGATTGTCAGAGAAATCAATGACATATATAGCCTCATATTGGAACTTTACCAAGCTTTATGCCAAACATAGGAACTCGCTTAACTCGAATACTCGGATAACTCGAAGTTTCCCAACGATCCCGTCGACTTCGAGATAACGAGGTTCGACTGTACATCAAAGTACAAATATTATAACATACACACAGCATTGAAGCATAAGCATCCTTACTAACACAAAACAAACATCAAAAGTAAAGATCTTTTACATAGTTTTGTGTTACCCCCGTAAGTCATTTTCCCATTGGATTCTTTAATTTACCTTTGAAAAAAAGGTTTAGTGACCTTAGGTGACATACAATTTTGATCAAACTTGCCATCCTGATAGAGAATCATCTAGTGTTTTCTCTGGTAATATTTATATTATTATCCATGGCCCTGCTATTGCGATATCACCTTTCATCCCAGCATAACAGTTATGCATTGGCATAATTCCCATAGATGCAATGTTTGAATTTGTCGTAAAAGTGTTTCTGCCTAACCTATCGTGGTTAGAATTCTATGAAACAGACAATTACATTAACAGTACCAATAAAAGTGCTTTAGAAGGACTTTTCATTTTTTTCGTCCTCTGTAATGTGATCTGAAGGGCGCTGTTAATATAGGGAGAACATAGATTTTACCATCAAAGGGACAAAATTTCCCGGTATACATAAATTCTCTTGCTTTGTGCTGAATTTCATCATTTTTTACTATAAACGAAGCCATGTAAAATTAATTTTCCAAAAGTCATAGAATCCAATGGGAAAATGACGTAACGTGCAAGACTTATGGCACATCACTGTATATATGAAAGATCACAATGGTTATTAAAGGTATAAGCCTGAATATGTATTTTTACATGTGACATCAAATATATATACTGGGCAACTCACAAAAGAACATGATATAAAGAGGAGTTTACATTAAACCACATGATATAAAACAAATAGCATGATATTAAGGGGAGTTTACATCAAATCACATGAAATAAACCAAACTGAATTACAGTATCTATAGAGATAAAAATCTCTTTTTTGAAAACATGATATTAACTAAAATGTGACACTTAGCAAGGTGATATTTAAAGGAATGATGTGTATAACAAATCAAGAAAATATTTACATAACCAATTTTATGCAGTGCTACAACAGTTAAGAGCCGGTGAATACTGACCTGACCGAGCTCCTCATTGAGATCAGATGTGTTCGCTTTAGCTGGTTGGTCCATCTTTTCATCATACATTTCAATATCCCAGCCAAAGTATAACGATCCTACAAACTTCTGTATCTCTGAAAAAGAAGACCGTCCTCATCAAAATGGCTACCAACTTTGAGACACATATATAACTACAACAAAATTGTAAAGGAGGCTGTTTTTCCTTCGATATTTCACTGTGGTTAATTTGGGTGACGTTTTCTTTTCTTGTAATGGTTTTTCCTTTATAAATGCTAAGTTTGTTGAGAAAACACCGAGTATAAATAAGGGGCAGAACATATTACCCGTCCCCCGGACTGCTTGTAATATTGGAGTGATAATTGGTGAAATGTCACTATGTTTTCCGACAGCTGACTTTACCGACTCGGCACATTGTGGCTTAGCGAGTTGTTTTCAATGGTTTAGAGCCGTGAAACCGATACTTTGCATGCTTAACAAAGGAAACAGACGTTTTCAAAAGCTCGCACAATAAGGAAGATACAACTGTAGCACAACGTTACGCTGAATTTTAATTTGCATATCTTGAAAACCATTGAACTTACCAATATAAAATAAAATTAGAAATACCTTAAAAGTTAGAATTTCATTTCGACACCTTTACGATAATATAACCTCTGCATTACTTACATGATATTTAAATATATCCTTGTATACATGCGAGTGATATTCGATGAATGTTATCCTCTGTTCACTTACATAGTACACATGTTAACTTGAATACAAAACACTGGCACTTACCTACAGTCACATACATAGATATTGGAATGAAGTAGTTAAATAGCACCATGAAAGACAAGAATGTCTCTATCCCTCGCAAAGCCTGCAACACAAAACAAAACTTACAATAAATGTAAAATTATTCAAACAATCACTACATACATAAAGGCCAAAAACAACATATGTATATGTTTCAGGTACTCTCACCGACTAAGCTTTTAACTACAACCCAAACAATTTTATCTCACTCGAATGCACTTAAACATCCCTGATGTGCCGAAAATCTGAAGCGACTGTACGATACCTATCGATATCATAATCAGGTATCAAAACCAAATTTAATCCCATATCATTGTTTAAAAGACATAAAAATACAATGAAAAGTGCTTACAATACGGACTGAATAACTATGTTTCATTGATTTTGTCATTTCTTAAATGAGCCCCCCCGCACCNTAGACCCCCCCCCCCCCCCCCCCCCCAAAAAAAAAAAAAAAAAATACCTACCCTATATTTTTCAGTCATGCTACCTGAAACACACATTTTATTTTTGGCCTAAAAAGTAATCGGCAATGAAATTATTTATTTCACCAACAATCAGGGATGTTCCTGTAAATTTTATAAAATAACGTCTCTCTTGTATTGGAAAAAAATCTCGGAAGGTCTAAACTACTTTTTTGTTCTTTATCTATATTTCTTTAAAAATTATTCAGACAGGCAACACAATAAATATTTGTAAATTTTCTGATTTTCTAGATAATAAAATTTCAAAATTCATTTTTAATGATAGGTAAGCTATATAGCTACCAGTCTTTAGGATTTGCACGACTTGACTCGGGTGTTAAGTTTTCTCGTCCCCGTCCCAATAGAATCGTGTATACTTACTGTGAGTTCTGATTCCGTGTCCATGTCTGGGACATACCAGAGCTTGTCTTTAACGACTGATTGGTTCACAAACACGTACTTCAGGATAGTACATGTCAGCGATTCCACCAACAGTACCACGAGGAATATGATCAGAAACGAATTCATAGCTCTGTAAACAAGAACACAGTTGGAGCTAAATGATCTTAAACTGAGTTTCAAGGCTACATTTCCTGTAGTATTGTACTACCGATATGTCAGGCCTAAGATTACAGGCTTAGATTCAATGCTAAATAATTTTATTGAAATAATTTTAGTAATTTAGATAGTTTGGAATTTCTTTTTGTTAACAAGGGAGTTTGTTGTAACTTTTGAACAATGTGAAACACCAAACTAGCCTAAACAAAGGGTTAAATTATACATTTATTGCCGTTACTGTAGGGAAACTTCGAACCTTTTGTTTACCTGAGGCTAATCGTGTTTCACGAGGGCAAAGCCCTTGAAACTTGAGTGAATCAGGGCACCATGATGTTATATGGCCCCATCGTGTGATCAGTGTCTATCATCCAATAGGACACACTTTTATAAAGATGAGGTATAATAATTTGTACTCACCTTTCAACTCGAGAAAACTTTGTACCTTTATTTTTTGAATTCAATGCCATTTTGGTCTCTGGTCCTGTATATATTGCACAACCTGAAAAAAGCAAATCACACACATGTCGTGTTTGTGTATAGTGTTAACTTTACAGTACTGCTGTATTTGTGTACAGTGTTAACTTTAAAGTACTGCTGTGTTTGTGTACAGTTTTAACTTCACAGTACTGCTGTGTTTGTGTATAGTTTTAACTTTACAGTACTGTGTTTGTGTACAGTAATAACTTTACAGTACTGCTGTATTTGTGTTCAGTGTTAACTTTAAAGTACCGCCGTCTTTGTGTACAGTTTTAACTTCACGGTACTGCTGTGTTTGTGTCCAGTGTTAACTTTACAGTACCGCTGTGTTTGTGTATAGTGTTTACTTTACAGTACTGCTGAGTTTGTGTACAGTGTTAAGTTTACAGTACTGCTGTGTTTGCTTATAGTGTTAACTTTACACTACTGCTGTGTTTGTGTATAGTTTTAACTTTACAGTACTGTGTTTGTGTACAGTTTTCACTTCACAGTACTGCTGTGTTTCGTATAGTGTTAACTTTACACTACTGCTGTGTTTGTGTAGAGTTTTAACTTCACAGTACCGCTGTGTTTGTGTATAGTGTTACCTTTACAGTACTGCTGTATTTGTGTACAGCGTTAACTTTACAGTACTGTGTTTGTGTACAGTGTTAAGTTTACAGTACTGCTGTGTCTGTGTACAGTGTTAACTTTATAGTACTGCTGTGTTTGTCTACAGTTTTAACTTCACGGTACTGCTGTGTTTGTGTACTGTGTTAACTTTACAGTACTGTGTTTGTGAACAGTGTTAACTTTACAGTCTTTACAGTACTGCTGTATTTGTGTTCAGTGTTAACTTTACAGTCTTTACAGTACTGCTGTATTTGTGTACAGTGTTAACTTCTCAGTACTGCTGTGTTTTGTTTAGTGTTAACTTTACAGAACTGCTGTGTTTGTGTATAGTGTTTACTTTACAGTACTGCTGTGTTTGTGTACAGTGTTAACTTTACAGTATTGCTGTTTTTGTGTACAGTGTTAACTTCACAGTACTGCTGTGTTTGTGTATAGTGTTAACTTTACAGTACTGCTGTGTTTGTGTACAGTGTTAACTTTACAGTATTGCTGTTTTTGTGTACAGTGTTAACTTTACAGTACTGCTGTGTTTGTCTACAGTTTTAACTTCACGGTACTGCTGTGTTTGTGTATAGTGTTAACTTTACAGTACTGCTGTGTTTGCTTATAGTGTTAACTTTACAGTACTGCTGTGTTTGTGTACAGTGTTAACTTTACAGTACTGCTGTTTTTGTGTACAGTGTTAACTTTACAGTACTGCTGTTTTTGTGTATAGTGTTAACTTTACAGTACTGCTGTGTTTGCTTATAGTGTTAACTTTACAGTACTGCTGTGTTTGCTTATAGTGTTAACTTTACAGTACTGCTGTGTTTGCTTATAGTGTTAACTTTACAGTACTGCTGTGTTTGCTTATGGTGTTAACTTTACAGTACTGCTGTGTTTGTGTACAGGGTTAACTTTACAGTACTGCTGTGTTTGTGTACAGGGTTAACTTTACAGTACTGCTGTGTTTGTGTACAGTAACAACTTTACAGTACTGCTGTGTTTGTGTACTGTGTTAACTTTACAGTACTGCTGTTTTTGTGTACAGTGTTAACTTTACAGTACTGCTGTGTTTTTGTACAGTAATAACTTTACAGTACTGCTGTGTTTGTGTACTGTGTTAACTTTACAGTACTGCTGTTTTTGTGTATAGTGTTAACTTTGCAGTACTGCTGTTTTTGTGTACAGTGTTAACTTTACAGTACTGCTGTTTTTGTGTACAGTGTTAACTTTACAGTACTGCTGTGTTTTTGTATAGTGTTAACTTTACAGTACTGCTGTGTTTTGTATAGTGTTAACTTTACAGTACTGCTGTGTTTGCTTATAGTGTTAACTTTACAGTACTGCTGTGTTTGCTTATGGTGTTAACTTTACAGTACTGCTGTGTTTGTGTACAGTGTTAACGTCACAGTACTGCTGTGTTTTTGTATAGTGTTAACTTCACAGTACTGCTGTGTTTTTGTATAGTGTTAACTTCACAATACTGCTGTGTTTGTGTATAGTGTTAACTTTACAGTACTGCTGTGTTTGCTTATAGTGTTAACTTTACAGTACTGCTGTGTTTGCTTATAGTGTTAACTTTACAGTACTGCTGTTTTTGTGTACAGTGTTAACTTTACAGTACTGCTGTGTTTGTGTACAGGGTTAACTTTACAGTACTGCTGTGTTTGTGTACAGGGTTAACTTTACAGTACTGCTGTGTTTGTGTACAGGGTTAACTTTACAGTACTGCTGTGTTTGTGTACAGGGTTAACTTTACAGTACTGCTGTGTTTGTGTACAGTGTTAACTTCACAGTACTCCTGTGTTTGTGTATAGTGTTAACTTTACAGTACTGCTGTGTTTGTGTACAATGTTAACTTCACAGTACTGCTGTGTTTGTGCATAGTGTTAACTTCACAGTACTGCTCTGTTTGTGTACAGTGTTAACTTTACAGTACTGCTGTGTTTGTGTACAGTAATAACTTTACAGTACTGCTGTGTTTGTGTACTGTGTTAACTTTACAGTACTGCTGTTTTTGTGTATAGTGTTAACTTTACAGTACTTAACTTTACAGTACTGCTGTGTTTGTGGATAGTGTTATCTTTACAGTACTGCTATGTTTGTGTAGAGTGTAAACTTTACAGTACTGCTGTATTTGTGTACAGTGTTAACTTTGCAGTACCGCTGTGTTTTGTATAGTGTTATCTTTACTGTACTGCTGTGTTTGTGTATAGTGATATCTTTACAGTACTGCTGTGTGTGTTTTGTATAGTGTTATCTTTACAGTACTGCTGTGTGTGTTTTGTATAGTGTTAACTTTACGGTACTGCTGTTTTTGTGTAAAGTGTTAACTTTACAGTACCGCTGTGTCTGTGTACAGTGTTAACTTTCCAGTACTGCTGTGTTTGTGGATAGTGTTATCTTTACAGTACTGCTGTGTGTGTGTACAGTGTTAACTTTGCAGTACCGCTGTGTTTTGTATAGTGTTATCTTTACAGTACTGCTATGTTTGTGTACAGTGCAAACGTTCCAGTACTTCTGGGTTTGTGTTCAGTGTTAACTTTACAGTAGTGCTGTGTTTGTGTACAGTTCTAACTTCACAGTACTGCTGTGTTTGTGTAGTGTTAACTTTACAGTACTTAACTTTACAGTACTGCTTTGTTTTGTACAGTGTTAACGTTACAGTACTGCTGTGTTTCTGTACTGTGTTAACTTTACAGTTCTGCTGTTTTTGTGTATAGTGTTAACTTTACGGTACTGCTGTGTTTGTGTATAGTGTTACCTTTACAGTACTGCTGTGTGTGTGTACAGTGTTAACTTTACTGTTCTGCTGTGTTTGTGAACAGTGTTAACTTTACAGTATTGCTGTGTTTGTGTACAGTCTTAACTTCACAGTACTGCTATGTTTGTGGATAGTGATAACTTTACAGTACTGATGTTTTTGTGTACAGTGTTAACTTACAGTACTGCTGTGTTTGTGCATAGTGTTAACTTAACAGTACTCCTGTGTTTGTGTACAGTGTTTACTTTACAGTACTGCTATGGTTGTGTACAGTGTTAACTTTATAGTACTGCTATGTTTGTGTACAGTGTTAACTTTACAGTACTGCTATGTTTGTGTATAGTGATAACTTTACAGTACTGCTGTGTTTGTGTACAGTGTTAACTTTACAGTACTGCTATGTTTGTGTACAGTGTAAACTTTACAGTACTGCTGTGTTTGTGTACAGTGTTAACTTTACAGTACTGCTGTGTTGTGTATGGTGTTAACTTTACAGTACTGCTATGGTTGTGTACAGTGTTAACTTTACAGTACTGTTGTGTTTGTGTTCAGTGTTAACTTTATGGTACTGCTGTTTTTTTGTACTGTGTTAACTTCATGGTACTGTTGTGTTTGTGTACAGTGTTAACTTCCTGGTACTGTTGTGTTTGTGTACAGTGTTAACTTCATGGTACTGTTGTGTTTGTGTACAGTGTTAACTTTATGGTATTGCTGTTTTTTTGTACTGTGTTAACTTCATGGTACTGTTGTGTTTGTGTACAGTGTTAACTTCATGGTACTGTTGTGTTTGTGTACAGTGTTAACGTCATGGCACTGCTGTTTGTGTGGTAAGATGAATCTGTGATTTAAACACTAACACTACATGTATATGTTTTACAATCTCAAAGTCATAATTCAACATTATTTGAATTTCATGTACCATATATGACCATAAGCCATGATGCTAACAAACCAGTATCTATCTATTGCAGGTCAGCAGAAATGCCAACAAATGTTATATTTTTGTCCTGTAATAAGCCCACCTCCATACTCTAAGTCAAGAGATTATGAGTTGGCCCCCCTTGGCTTATTGCAGAAATAGGAATAATTCAATTATAACAAGGTTTTATTGTACAGTAAAATTTTGCCATACTTTGACAACATAGCTTCATTAAAAAGATATTTAATGATCTATCAATTGGAGACAGTAAAGGAAAAGGAACAAGAGGCCCAAGAGGCCCAATGGGCCTGAATCGCTCACCTGGTATTAATCTGACACTTGTTATCTTAAAAGTGGACTAAAATACAACTACAAGCAGAATATCAGTGTTTCATTCATAAGAACCTATTAAAAGATTTTAAAATATGACGCCCGGGACATTGAATGTCGAACAAGGACATAAGGTTGAACAGAGTTTAAAGTCTTCCAACCCAGCATGCTTAATTCTAGCGAAATATCATTACCCTGGACTTTTTGGTTATACAGAAAAAATCATTTAAAGATTTAAACATATATTGACCATTGTGACCTTGAATATGGGCGTAGGTCATTCATTTGAACCAACTTGGTAACCCTTCATCACAGTATTTTAATGGCCAAATGTCATCACCCTAGGCCTCTTGGTTATTCAGAAGAAGTTGTTTAAATGTTTTTAACATATTTGACCCCATTGACCTTGAATATG